ACTACAGAAGTATCCGCAAGTTACATAGATTCGACACATAACATAGCCATCAAAATGAATTCTTACTTCCTTGATATTGTTTGGTATTATATCGCCCTATTCCATACTTCTTAGGTGCCGCTTCTCCCATTAAATCAAGAAATTCACCATCATGAACAGCCTGCCAGTGTCCTACATCAAGATTAGGTGGTCTAAGTAGAACCAGATATGAACCTTTCTTCGGTAGCGGCTTTGCGATCTCATTTGACTCAAAGATATCATCGAGACAAAAAATTCTAAACTTATTGCTCAATATCTATCGGTCGATCAAAGTTGTATCGAAGTTGTCCTTTTACCGAATCAACAAGCAACATCTGCCCTTTCCTCTCAGTTGCCTTATTTTAGTGATTGACTATGCTACGTTCATCAACTCCTCTAATATTGAAATCCTTGACAACCATTACCAAATCGCGTTTTGAATTAGCTTTTAGAATGGCTACATACTCCGCTATCGATCTAATCATCTTATCAGTGGCAAAGTAGCTATGGCTAAGGAAAATGGTGCTTATTTTAAAGTGACGACACCGAATATAGTAATGTAAGATGAGATTCTTTTGAAGTAGCTTATCATTGCTGTAATTGTCTATGATCACAAGCTCAGGTTTATTAGAGCTCATAGGTGTCCGGTGGACTTGATCAACGCTTGGGGGTGAATCAGGGTCCGCAAATGTGATGAATCCATCAAGCTTATCGCGCAAATATTCATATAGCTCTTGGTGTGGGTTCCGGGCAATGATCGTTAAATGAGCAAAGACGTGAGGTGAATGCTTGAGAATAAACATTCAGAGGTTGTTCTTTCCTAAAAACGAAGGCCCCAGCACAATCATTCTAAACAAAGCTTTGATATATATCTTTCACCGATGCTGATTTGAACTTTTTCGGCAAGGAGGCGCCGAAGTCAGGATTATTTGCTCATGACTAAAATCGTTTGATCTATATAGAATTAAACAAAATGAGTTTCGGCTTTTCATATCCAAAGCCAAGTTTTCAATCATCCATCTATGATCCTACATTCTATCTATCATTAGATTCAAGTGGCTATCTAACACTTGAGTACGCAAATACTCTATATCTTAGTAGGTACCGGAACGGTATCTTTAGGATCTGCTCTTGTTCTCGGAGCTTCGGGTAATATTTCAGGCATAACATCGCTAAGTGCTACGAACCTAACTGGTTCGCTACAAACCGGATCTCAACCCAATATAACGTCCCTCGGCACTCTAAGTGGCCTTACAATTAGTGGAAATCTATCATTTAGTGAATCATCGCGATCAATAACGCTAACTGGCACTTCAAGCTACATTGATGCTCGGGAGTATCGACAGAACGGTGTATCGTACGACCTAAGTACATTTTTTACAGGAGAAGTCTCGGCCTCATATGGAGTTATCCAGGCGTCTACTATTTGGGCATCCGACTCGGCCAATTGCAACCAAATGGCATGGAGCTATGATTTGGGAGCATCAAATGCTTTGCCGTTCGCCGAAAGGTCGCGGATCTACGTGGACGGCTCTGCAAATTCATATCCTCTTCGGATCGATAACGGATTTAGTCCTCTGGTGATATCAACTACACAGGAGAAAATATTTGGAAAACCTCCGTTAAAAATTTTCAAATCGATTGCTATTACAACCAATCTGGGGTTGGACAGACGACTTCTTTTGGTATCCGCTCTATTCCAGGAGGGTTAAGCAATAGTCAATCAAACTGTGTTTTAGGAACGAATGATTCGACGATGATTCTAACAACGCGCATGGATGCAAGAGATTTCAGTGGCATAATAATTTTTAAAAATTCAACAAGTCCATAACTCAGTAGAATTGTTTTCAACGATTCGACAATGATATCAAATAGTCAATATTCATTCAATGGCCCGATTGCTATTAAAAGCTCTACATCAATGTGGGCAGATGGCGGGAGCACGATGTATAGTGTAGCTCAGGAGTGGCGAGACAACGCATCGACACCTGCGAGGATACAGTTGCAGATTGCTAACAATGGCGCAGGCGCTCTTTTTGGGACTGCAACGAATCATCCATTCGGTATCATGGTTGAAAACTCATCTGCTCTGTACATAAACGCAAGCAAGTACGTTGGCATTGGTACAACAAACCCTTTCGTACCTCTACACGTTTCGACCGCAATATCATATACGTTCGGAGCAGGAGGAACCACTGTCCATAGATTAAGAACAGACGGCGGTACTACTGAATCAGCGCTTTGTCCTATAAGCTATAACGTGAGCGCCCTGTTTGGCGGATACATCGGTTGTAGCGCCTTAGCGATGACAAGTGATCGAAGACTGAAGAGGAATACCCAATCTTGTCCAATTTACCGTGTAAAGCGGTTCTACGATAGCTGTGAGGGCAAGCTATATGACTGGATCGAGTCGGAAAACAAGCCTGGACAAGAAATCGATCTCATAGCTCAGGATTTGGTTTCAGCCCAGCTAGCTGATTTGATATCGATCTATTACAGAGATCATATCGAAGGGGGAGAAGACCCAAGCCTTAAACCAGCTAAGCAACAGCTCAACGTTGATTATAGTCGGATATCGGCTTATAACATGAAAATGATTAATACCTCTTGAGTGAGATAGACAGATTAAAAGATCGTTAGGCTAATATAGAATCTTGAGGATCGAGCTTTGTGAGCCAAGTCCATTGAGTTCCAAGAAGTATCGAGTATGGATACGCCTTGATACGGGAAAGATGCGCAAGGTTGATTTCGGGGCTCGTGGATACGCCCAATATCGGGATCAAACGCCTCT